AGTGAAACTGCCCCCCCCCCATCCTGATAAAGTCAAGCCAGTCACATGAGCTCCAGGCAGAGAGTGTGTGGTCTGTGCTGGAATCTAATCTCAGAGTCAATCTGAGGCTAAATTGTGGACAAAATCTTGTGAGAGGAACTGGATTTTATTCCAATGTCAACATTAACAGCAGATTTCACAGCTGTGGATGATGGGGAGAGTTGGGCCTGCTGGTTTCACAAATACAACAAGCAGGAAAATCCCAGAAAACAAGACAGAAATCAGAGCTAGAATCAGAGATTTTTTTAAACTGGACCGTAAAAGTTGCTAGATTAGTGACTTCAATATAGCTCAGGTGATCGAACGCCATAAGCTGTGAGCCAGTGCAGGTTTGGGAGGATGTAGAGACGTGAATAGGACATGTGCACTGTGCCGTATATGGAGCCGTACACGCTATTTAGCGGGTCTCTTACCTAAAGCTCCGTGAAGAATGAAGGATGTATGCATACATTTTTAAGTATCAGTGGTGGGAAACAAATCCCCGAGCCTGCCGCCTTTCTCCGACAGTACTTTTCCTTTTGCTAACCAAGCTTAAATATTCCCTCTATGTCTTGATTTCAGACTTAATACTTAATCAGTTTATGATCAGAGCCTCATTATATTCCCCAGAAGCTTATAATTATAGCAGGGGGTAAGTTTTCAGTGACAAAAAAAAAAAAAAAAAAAAGAGTGAAAGTTTCGTTTTATAGATGCAGCAAGGATTAATTCATGAGTGTTTTTGAAGAGAAAGTATTGACATTCACAGGGTCAGCGAGGAGTGAGTAAAAAAATTCTCAGTCAACAGCCATCACGCTGAGGAGCTATCAGATGTGAATGGTGGCGCCTAAATCTCATCTCCTCCTCTAAAGAAGTCAATCCTCCACCTCCTTGAACCCTGCCGGCCCCGTCTCATTGTTCTTCTCTCTCCTATCTTTACCTCCTTTGCTCTCCATTTGGCTCTTTTCTTCTCCTCAGAGGACGGCGGAATCAGATTAAAGTAGGTCAAAGAAAAACGGGCGGATGGCAAAAAAGTGCTGAGAGTTACGATTTGCATCAACTGAAAAGGAAAAGAGACTTTATCCACTTCACGGATACCTGGAAGACCGGGAAACAGACGGCTGCCCGGAGGAATGATTCAGGCCAGTGAAGCGTGCGCGGTAATGAGCGCGGGGACGGATCCTCGCGGACAGAGCGTTCGTCAGCGGTGCATTAGCTTCGGCATTAGCGCGGCGGGGTCAGGGGTCGCGCTCGCCCCCCGCCGGAGTTAGCAGCTCGCGCTCGGCTTTCAGAGAGGCGGACGGAAAAAGCCCGCCGTGGAGCAAGTGCCGACAAACAAGATCTGAAAAAAAAACGGTGGATAATTAGAAGAGGATGAAATCTTTTTTTTTTTACCATGTGTGTTTTTATGAAACGTACAGAATGGGAGCAGCGTTGACCTACACTAATTAGGGTGGCGCGGATTTCTCTGTTCGTCCAAATTTAATACGACTCAATTTATCTGAATTAATCTTAATTACAGTACGTCCTAACGAACTCTTTGGAAATGAAGGACTTTAGTCTTTAGTTTTGGATCCTCTCTTTGGTTCAGATTTTTCCCGGGTTCTGTAATCCTGAAGGCCTTTAAACCTTTTCTATAGGTGTTTTTTGTGAATTTAACTCAGCCAATGAACACTGTTTCTGATGGATGGAAGGACAGACGATGAAGCTTGAACTGGAATGAAATATTCCACTAAACGGTGCATTTGTAGCTCTAAATTCTCCGAATAAGATGCACCTGAAATCTCCCGCGAACCCTTCATTGAAAAAGTGACAGTAAAGGGCAGCCGGTGTGTTAAAACAAGATCCATCAGCGTCAGCTGGCGGGGGGAACGTGTGGATTGCCAAAAAAACCGAAGATACAGCAGAGAAACTTCAGCACAATGACAGAATTTGAAAAGACTCAGAGGGGTCGGATGGTTTGTGACATCCGGCACAAAGCAGGGAATCGTGGAGAATCTTCGTGTTTCGTCTTACTTTTTCTGTATGTTTAGCAGAGTTCAAACCGAAATCACAAATGAGACTTCCCCCTCTCCCCCTCAGCTTGTTCTGCAAATAAATATGACTTGAGAGGTTTCAGAGGTTTACAATGAGCACCTCTGTTCAAACACTGCCATCTCTCTCTGCCAGTCTGAGTAAGCTGCCATATAAAATAATGCCTCAAACACTCGGTTTGTTGTATATTGTGGTCCAATTTGCACTGGCTGTCTGATCCTAACCATGAAATTTTACACCTGGGGTGGGATGAAAAAACATAAAGCACTTGCCAAGACTCTCAATCTTCCCCTACCAACTAATTAAAACGGGGAAAAACTGAGAAATATAGAGAATAGAGACATGCTTAAAGATTAGATGTGAAATGGCGATTCTGCCACCATGTATAAAATCTCTGCATAAGCACGCAGACACGAGGCAGCGGTGACCTTGAAGGTGTGCAGATGATTTTTTTGCGGGGAGGCTTTTTACGGCACAAAGAAAAGCTGCTTGAAGTAATGAAGGAAAATATGCCGTGATTACGGAGTCTCCCTAACCCCTGTGTGCAGCGTGACAGCTCTGGGATGAAGGGCAGGGGGGAGAACTTGTTTATCCTGCAGCCAGCTTGACATGCTTTATCACTTGCAGGTCAGTGTGTAGGAAAAAAAAAAAGGTTGTCTATCTGAATATCCATGACTTTTTTTGGCTTGCGACCAAAAACGTTTGTTCGGTTTATTTATTGATCGTGAAAGCTTCATATTCGTCGAAAATGTAAGATCTGACGGCTGCGAATGGCCGTGGAGGGGAAAAGATACATAAATGCGTCAGGACACACTGAGGGAGGATTTTTTGGGTTGTAGAATGAGAGAAATGCAGTCTTAGAACCAACAGAAACGCAATGACTTGTGTTATTTAATCTTAATTGAGCCCAAATGCAGACGCGGGGCTTCAGAGGTCCACTTTGTGACTCATCAGTTTGAAAAAAACCCCTTCAGCAGCAATGACTTAAGATAATGATCATTTTCTGTGTGATTTAATCAGTCTCACATCACCGTGGAGGAATTCTAGCCTTGTCTGAGTTTGTTTTTTATCAATTTTGAACCCTTTTGACGAACAATATGACCTCTTGTGTCATGTGAGATTGGTATAAAAAGAATAAAAAAGGCCATTCCCTCTTCTTTCACGCAAAGTTCAGCACGGTTCAGTTGAATTTTTCTCATTTTTTGACTCTCGTGAACCAAAAGCTGAACATGAAACACGACATTGATGGGAATCCACTTCACTTTGCAGATTATTTTAATCCAAGAATGTCCTTTAAATGAATCTCTATGTGCTCAGTGAGGGAGATCAAACTGTCCTCACACCTAGATATGACTTTTTATACACAAGATTACCAGAAAAAAATGACATGCAGCATTAAGGAGCACAGAGACTGAGCTGTGAGCTGATATAACCTACTGTACTTTCGTATAAAGCTAAGGGGCTCTTTTAGCATGTATGAGTTGTCTTTGATATGTAATTTCCCACTCACAGACCTTTTTTTATTCCTTTTGGATTAGCGAGGCGCTGGTGGGACGGCTCTGCGGAGGATACTTTTTGTATTTCAGATGTCTGATGTCTTTGGGAAAAAAGGTTTTGTTATTAATCAAACACATGGGAGAACAGCAGGGGGGGGTCGCTTCCATTCATAACGTTTATTCAGTGCCCCAGTTGTTCGGCGGGATGAGGACCGATTCTCAAAGGCGAAACCCTCCTCCCGGCTCCCGAAATTTCTCCCCAGAAATTTGGCGACGACCTTCCTCTCGCTTACAGCGAGCCGCGGAATGGGCGGCTCAGCAGGAGCCTAAAGGAGGTTTTTAACGGCCGGTGAGTCACAGATCCCCTCTCTTGGGATCGAAGTGCTGAGAGGGCGCATTAAGAGATTGTGGTCCGAATAACAAACCTTAACCGAAATAGACGTGTTGCCTTCCCCACCGGTGTGCCAGACATAGCGTGCCCACCCAGATCTCCAGCAGGATGCCAAGACCCAACAAGCGATATCCAAGACCCGCCGTTAAGTAGGCTCCCGGGGAGGGGCCCTGGCTCCAGCTGTGGTCTGTTGATGGTGGAATCTGTCAAGACGATGACTCCATCCATTTTTATGCAATGTGTTGTCTTAACTGCACCGAAACCCTTTTTAACATTCACACGCGGCCTTCAATGAGTCCACAGACCTGACAGATTATTGAAACAGCCGAGCAGCTGTGTGTGTGTTTTAGTTTGTCTAACAGGCAGAAAGTCGTGCCTAATCTGCCATCTCATTAGACACCCCTTGAGCTTCTAAAGTAACCTATATTTGGGATCCGGGAACTTTGATGTACTTATCCTATCAGAAGCACATTTGTCTGGAGGCTGCCCCTTTCAGAAAAAGCTCAATTATTTCCCTCCCGATCTCTGAAAACTCACTTATATTTATCTCAGCCGCACTGTCTGTGGGAAACCTGGCTTATTTGAATCAGGCAGTATTCCCTTGTTGAAATCCAATATTCTCTTTTGCCAGAGGCGGTCCCGACAGAAATCAGGAGGAGGTGCACTGAGCGGGGCTGTGCTCTCCCTCAGCACCGTGTTATGAATGTGTGTTTATGTTATTGGAATTAAACAGTTTATCTAAAAAGTTGCTTTTTCCCCCCTCTCCGATCTCCACTCTCTATTTCTGGAGACCCAGGGACTGACTGAAAATCACAGCGCAGCCTCATATTTAGCATTTTCATAAACAAAGATATAAACTTTTCCCTTTCTGCTGTGTAAAGAAATGATTATCGGTTATTGTCTCCGGAGGGATTCAGGTCCGAGGGGCTCTTTACACACTTTGCTGAGTCACGGCTTTGGAAAACTGTGACGGTGCAAACGCCGTGCTGCTGCCGCTGGTGTGGGACGATGCAAAATAATGAGGACGCGCAAAACGAATTTACATAATGCTTGTTTCTTTGCAGCCGCCGAAGGCGACAACGCTGCAGCAGCCCCTGCTGGTAAGTGCCTCCATGACATTTAATCCAAACCTACTGTAGCTATGCTGGAGGGAAACCTGCTAGAATTGAACTCAGACTCATAGTGGCCAGCTTTCAGGGTCAAGTAAAGAGACCAATGAAAAGCACTTATCCCGATAAAGGAGGCCAGAAGACTCATGCCGTCTTTGTTTTTCTCCCTTTTCAGACAAAACGGGTGAGGAAAACACACTCACTGTCCCTTTGATTCCATCGTCATCCCCCAACGCCCGAATAAAGTGTCTCTTTCCGCTCATTCAGAGAGGTCCGCGGAGGAGGAGGGTAAGACTCAGAGATGACACAAACACAGAAGGAACGAGCTTCTGTGGTCGCACGGCCGCGCGTGCAGACGCATGGAGGCGACCCTGTCGCTGCCTGATGCATCACACACAGTCACAAACGCACACAAACGCACACAAACCGCCGGTGACCGCTCACTGTAGCTATGTTCTTTTAGCACCACAGAATAAATCTGCTGGTCAAATCAAGCGCCACGCGGGAGGGGGTTTAATTTCTGAGTTTGCCTCACACGGAATGCAGGCATGCATGCACTGTGTGTGGGTTTTACTTCCCTGTTTTAGGTGCACTGTGTCTGATGAAGAATGGACCTACAGGGAATAGCCGATTAACCAACTATGTATTCGTCTCAAGGGTTTTTTTTGTGTTTGTATTGCGATGCCAAACAACACTTCCGGGGTTCCTGTCTTCGTTTGAACCGTTGCCTTTTCGTAGCCCACAATGCAACACAATACACAATCAGCTTACAGTCCACAGTAGGAGGAAGAAAAAGTAGAGACAACCCTCTGAATTCTGTCATCTGATTTGAAGTATATAGGGTTGAATCCCTTTGTGGTCTCTGGAACCTATGGGCAAATTACCCCCAGCCTCTCCCATCAGATTGTGAAGATTTAACTATATCTGATTCTGGGTGGTACTCCCAATGGAATCTGAACAACGGGTGCTAAATGCAGGGTGAGGTCTGAGCCAGGCTTTTAATCCATTTGTAAATAACTTTCACTCAAACATGCAAACAAATGTATAGAAGTCTAGATTGTGAGATACCAAGAATGAACCAGCAATTCTTAGAGAAAACAAACCCATTTATCAAACATATTGCACAGTTCTTGTACATTCAAAGCCGGACCAACAAACAAACAAGATGTTCTTTGGTGCCACTGAACTGGCGGAGCAGCCTTAGCTCTGTGAGACAGTTAATATTCCAGATTAGTCCAATCTTTTCATGTCACTGTAAAACCATCAATTACTGTTCATCCTCCGACTCATTTTATTGGTTTCTATGAAGCTTTAAGCATTCCGCTTCAGGCAGTTGATCCCGCAGAAATATGGGATGTTTGAATGCAGTTACGCACGGTCCGTTTGACCATCATAATATAGCCAGATAAAGTCTTCAATGATTTATGATTAGTGGATCAATATTTAATTTAAATGAAAATCTACTAAAGTCCCATTTCTACTCGTTTCCGTCCAAACTCAGTGCAGATCCTGACGGGGACGGCCGGTCGGGCCTGTCTGAGCGTCTGATTTCCACTCTCGCCGTAATTAGCTGACACCGAGCGTCAGAGTGTTTCTCAGCACGCAAAGAGATGCCGCTTTTGAGAAACGGGAGACAGATCCAGAACAGCCGATTGTTCCTCCCAGTTAAGTTCAATGAATGCTCTCCTTCATGTTCAGGATAAAAGTGTGAACTGTGCAATTATTGAGATTTATTCATTTTTCTCCATATATCTCTGCCCCTTTACCAGCTTCTTCTGCAATGTTTCATGGGTTTCTCCAAATATATGGTATACAATTATTGCGATCAGAGCTAAAATGTTGGATGCGATTTGATGCCCACGTAGGAGGAGAGTTTTAATTAATTCTGTTTCCTTTGAATGGTTCAAATCCCAACAATTCTGGGTCATAAAACCTCCAAGATAAAGCCAGGTTACAGGCAATTAAGTGTAAACCAAGAATCTAATCAATTATAAAATCGTTAAACTCCAAATTCATCCACTTCATTAAAAACGGGGATACTGGAAAACTAACCACAACCCCTACTGACCTCTGCCCAACACCATGGGCCGGAGGGGGTTTACAGCCTCCAGAACTGAACCGATGATCTGTGGTTTTTCGTTTGCGGTGGGCAGATTTATGCAGAATTTGCTTATGAAGAGCAGAAACAGAGGCATGACTTATGAAGTGGCCCCTGAAGCCAAACAGGGACCTTAAACAGCCCAATTCAACAGGCTTTGACACACTCTCACATCCTGACAGGGATGATCCCACCTCCTCAGCATCGTTAGTGGCTGTTGGGCCATTTGTCCTTCTTCAAGCAGAAACTCTGTGTGAAGCAGAAATAGGCATAAAGAATAAATAGAAAATTCAGTTCGGGGGGTTCTGAGACTTTTCTCAGGGCAAAAGTTTGCTTGCTTGCATTTTGCAGAGTGCGTGGAGGACTGTCCTGGCCTGGGAGGTCTGTGGGTGTTAACCCACCTTTAACATTTAGGATGTCTGAGTGTGTGTGTGTTCACTCTGCTTTTGTCTGGAATGCCTAAAGTACATGATAACTACATCACAGCTCTTTTGTGTGCTAAATCTGTGCTTATTCTCCATTAACAGATGTCCAGCCTAATGTAGGTAAGCGCTTTGCTCTGTCACTATTAGTGAGTGTGTGTGTGTGTGTGTGTGTGTGTGTACGTACACAGCTCCAACCTGACTGGAGATATTGTGGTTGTCTGAGTGAATAGGCTTACAAACGGCATTGTCTTTAATCTGATCTTTGCAGAACGCCTCTTTCATCCATTCTTACGCTCACATCTCTCTGCACAGACAGCAGAACAGAGCTGGATTGTTGGAAAAATGTTTTAACCCCTTCATTGTCTACTAAACTGATTTCCATGTACAAATTGTCTCTTTTTTATTTAGCCAACAATGAGCCTAGGGATGGTAAGGAAAAAAAAAAAACTCTGCACTCTGTGTAAGCTTGTGTTTTGTGCTTGCTTTGTGCCGACACCTTTTTGAGCCTGCAGACGTGGTCCTGTGTGCAGCCGGGGTTGCTCTGGCGACGGCCATCGCTGCTTTCTTAAGGTTACAATAAGTCTCAGCAAATGGATCTATTTTTTCTCTCCAAGAATATATTCCTGGACCTCTCGCGTTGATTGCGACAAAAGCCAATTCGCGTGGCAAACAAACGTGACAAAATGCTCCCGAGGATGTGTTAAGGATATATTAAGATAAAGAAACTTGTGTTAAAGGTATGAAAACAAAACAAAGACACAACCTTAAAGCAAACAAAGTCTTAACAAATTCTTTTGAGATTATAGGAAGAATAAATGTAAAATTAATGTAGGCTGCAAATATTATTAATATTATATTATTTGGCAATCAAAAAGAATAGTGATGAAGATCCCAAAAAACATTTGAGAAGAATTAATGCAATAAACTCACAGCTTTTTCCTGTACAAAGTTATATATCCTGCTGGACGTACAGTGTGCTGTCTCTGTATGTGTGTCACGAGCTACTTTATATTTCTGCCGAGGAATATTACAGAGCATTGATTATAATTAACACAGTGATTGTTCTGTTGTAAATGTCTTTTCATGCTGAGATTAATGCAATTTTCAGTTTAGTGGTCCTCAGATAATAAACCGCAGACACACTGAATAAGTAATAGCTGTGAAATTACCACTTTTAAGCCAACTTCAGCATGTGAGCATGTGCAGCTCCCTTAATTATTTCCCAATCACTTGCAAGACAGAGATATGTCAAATATGACATGCCTTGAATCTAAACATTTCAAATTAATTACAATAATAATGACAGAACCAATATTATTTTAGTCACTATTTAGTGGAGTTGCATTTATCTATGGGAAGTACACAGTGTTTGAATTTAATGGAAAATGGTGCTCATTTGCAGAATTAAATACTCCCTGAACTAGCAGGATAACTTTATTTATCAAATGAAGCATGCTTCCATTTTATGATGTGGGCATGGCATAGTTGAGGATTTGTTCCCAGCTCTCCCCATTAAATAGTTTGTGATAGTTAGCAAAATTCTATACCTTAACCAAACCACACAAGTCAGAGACAGGTTATTTTTATCCGAAAAGTTAAAAATGGGGGTGGGATGCTTTCTGGAAAAAAGTTATTGCATGGCCATAAGATACTAAGACATGGATATAAAGTATTATTGCCACAGTCTGGTAATACTAATCCCCAGGCCGTGATTTAGTAATGTTAGGAGGTGGTTCAGCTTTTAAGACTGATGTGATATGAGCCTCTGCCGCATATCAACTCCAAAAGTTTAGAGCTGCTTTTTATGCTCCAGGAGACGCTCGTAGATTATGTTTTGGCAAAAATAATGGAGTCCGTGAGCTTTGGAGTGACTGATTTTCTTACACCGGTGCTAATTACATCAGCCAGGTCATCTGAAGAGGCCTGCGAAGTTACGAGCTGTTGACACTCCTGGAAAATGTGCCTTTCCAGATCTTTTCCGAGTTGTGTTACCAACCGACGAAAGCATTAAATGGCCCTGCATGAGAGTCCGGGCAGGCACCGGCCCAAAAACGCTAAAGCCAGGGCGTCTAATGGCAGCCGCCCGGAGTTGATTTCACGGTGAAACTCCACCGCGAACATATCCCACGTAACAGTGTAAGAGTGTAAACATTCAAAAGTGTCCCCTGGGTTCCCATTCCAGAATCGGCTCTTCCTACTTAGCATTCTAACGAAACCTTTTAAATCATCCTGAACATCTGAACTTGGATCTGTCCTCAGGGGTACTTTTGATTAAAAGATCAAATTAACCGAGCCCATAAAAGCAGAGAGAGAGAGAGGCAGGGGCGCAGACAGCGCGGCTCTCTGGATTTATGGAAGCGCATGACCCTATTTGACACGTGACCCTGGATCCATTCTCTCGGCAACTGGTCTCGTCCAATGGATGATCACGCAGGGCCGAACTCACTCTCCTTGACTGGAGCTCCGGCGTGGTTTTTTTCTCTGGATGCTAATCTGTCGAGTGACTCTCCCTCCAAAACTTACAGTGTGTCTGGCACGGATCATGGCAGAAACAAAGCGGTTTAAAGCGAGATAACGCACAGTTATAACCTCCCCAAATTCAGCACAGGAGGGTTGTAAACATAACTCATTAATGTCATGATGGAGACGGACAGAGAGGTGAGCTCCTTTTTGGAGTGCGAGAGCACGTTGATTTAACGAGTGAGTGTTCCTCACCTGAAGTCAAGGTTATCGCCGGGCCAATTAACGTGTGTGTTTAACTGCAGAGCACAGATTCTGACTTTTTATTTTTTTCCCATTTCCCCCCCCCCCTTCCGGTGCAGAGTTGCCTCCTGATGGTAAGAGAAAATTAACACGTTAGCGTCTCTCCTTAAAAACGCACTGACTGACAAGCAAACACCTTGTGACGGTTCCATCAATATACGTGAAAAAGAAACAGGGAGGCAGATAAAAAGAGCAGCTCGTTTCTTCCGTTCATCGCCGAGATAAGATTGTTCTGACCCAGCTTACTTTGTGTCAGAGCGGGAGATGATTGCTTGCATAGTCAGCCTTAATATGACGTCTTCAAAGATGATTTAAAGAGCCTCTCTATTCCCTTTAGGCCGGACTAATCCAGAGGATCCTATACTTATTTTTTTAGAGGCTCTTAAATAGCAGTTACAGTCTAACAGAAAAGGCTTGCTTATTTTCAGACTCAAACAACTCGAAGGATTAAAAGAGAGGAGAATTTCATTGCTTCAGATTTCTTGATCTTTAAAGTGAAAAATGGTATCAATTAGGACAATATTGTTGTTTGCTTGGTCCCTTTTGCTCTTTCTTATTACTGTACCTATTACTTGTGTGTGTTGATCAGAGTTGGGGTCATGCTTTCTTGTTTTAACTTCCTGTCTGGGATGAACCCCCCTCTCTGCAGAGCACGCACCGGGAGAGGGGCCTCAGATGTCCGAGCTGAGCGGAATGTTCGTGCTGAAGCCCGAGAGCGTCACGGCAACAAAAGGTGCGGCCATTCAGCCTAAAACGAAAACCCCTCAGCCGCTCGGTCCGGTTCAGTCAACCCCTGCTCCTCTTTTCAGGGAAGGACATCACATTTGTGGCCAAAGTGGACTCCTCAAACCTGACCAGGAAGCCGGCTATGAAGTGGCTTAAAGGGAAATGGCTCGACCTGACTAGCAAAGCTGGGAAGCACCTGCAGTTCAAAGAGACCTACGACCGGAACACCAAAGTACACGTTCATTATTTCTGTGCATGGATGCAACCTGTGAAGTCTTTCAATTAGTTAAAGGACGTCCACTTGTTGTGCAAATGTGGGCGTTTTGCACAGACTGAGACATTTTTTTAAGTTGGCAAGCTAATGTCATCTGAATAGTTCTGAACATGCTTTTCTTAAGGTGGGTGGAACTTCTTTTATTTGGGTTTGGACCAAGAACATAGGGAAAGAGGTGAGGAAAGGCAGAAATGCGGAAATAAGAATTTATTATTAACATTAAACAAAATGCGTTTTAAAGAAAAGAAAGTAATAAAAATGGACAGGCCAAAAAAATAAAAGAAACAGTCGGTGGACCAAATGAAAAAGAAGAACAAAACGGAGGCTGAAGCATTAATGAACCAGTAAAGATCAAAGAAAAACCAAGAGATTATGCAGTGAGGGCTTGATTACAGATTTAGCAGCAGGTGAGGCAATCTGCAAAGGAAGCCAGGTGTGTCAAGAGTAAATCAACAGAATTACCGAAGGGGAACTCTACTACCATGACAGAGCAAGAAAAAAAACTGGAGTCATTTGTGGCTCAGCATGAAATACTATAAAGACTCAATTGGCTGCTACGAACCCTTAAGATAACAAATTCGGACGAACCTTACCTGTACTTTGAGATAAGATCAAATCTTTATTGATCCTGCAGGGTTTATTCTTCTTCCCACCTGCAGCTCTTTACTTTTTCCCATGCTGAGCTGTAGGTGGTTCTGCCTGCTTCTAATAGCATGAGGTCCAATGTTTGGTTACCAACCTATGGTCACTTAAGTGTTGAATATAGAATCGTAAGTATTAAAATGGTTGCTATTATCACTGTTTACCTCAGAGCAGTTTGCGGAAGGTTCTTTAGAATCTACATTGATTGATATGGGCAGCATGACTCCACCCACTGAATATTTTAAATGATAATGGGTAATTTACTGAATAACAATTAGACAGAAGAAGGAATCTTTGATGCCGTTTAACCACGTGACTATTTTCACATGTTTTTCTATGTTGTATCTCATGGATGAAGTTTGTGCTTTTGAATGGTATTTTGGAGTTGAGGCCTGTTGATTATCAGTGGTCTGAATTCAAGGCAAAACTATAATTTTTAAACCATTAAATGATCAGATTTCACATTTGACTCTGATATTACATGTTACAAGTGGCCATTAAGTCAGCAAAATTCCACACACTGGCTCATACTTTTTGGCTTATTTCTAGTTAATCACGTCTTTCACCACAGCGCCAAAACAGACCAATGACAGGTGTTCAGGAAAAATGAATAATTTCGCACATCGACGTTGTCAGAGTTGTGAGCGTGTTTGTTTCCGTGTGCGTGTGCGTGCCCGGGTGTTGATATTATTGCGTGTTCTCTTAGCATACCGTCCCCGTTTTCTGTCAGATCTACACCTACGAGATGAGCCTGATCAAAGTGGTGGACGGAGACGCGGGCGGCTACCGCTGCGAGGTCACCTCCAAAGACAAGTGCGACAGCTGCACGTTCGAAGTCTCCGTGCAGGGTGGGCCCGCGGACTCACGCTTAATCACATCATTGTCATCTTCCATTCGGCGCGTCCGCCGTTATTATGTAACCGACTCTGTCAGCCAATAACTCACAGAGTGCCATGCGCATTAGGGTCCTTTCATTCAGTGGCCTCGCCAGGTCACCCGTCCATTATTCCGATGACCCTATAGCCCGGCTCCTTCTGTCTGTTTTCAGCCGTGCAAGAGGACCAGCAGGACAACATCTTGGAGGCCTTTAAGCGATCGTGAGTGTCGGTGTCAGCGGGGCCCTGCTCAGCATGTCACCTGTCGCGTTGTTTCCCGGCGTGCCCTTCTTTGTAAAAACCCCCCGCCTCCGGGCATGTGTCAGTCTGCACGAGCGCCTCTGCCCAAAAGTGTCTGTCAATCTCCTCCCGGTGGCAGACTCTGCTCCAGTCAGTCTGCCTGTCATCGCTCCCCTTCTGTCTCGTCTCAACGCGCCGGCTGCTTTGCTGCTTTGCATCACCTGGAAGTCCCCGGCGGTTACCTCACGCTTCAGCCGCTTCAGAGATTTAGCGCCTTTTCCCAACATCTACCTGTTTGCCTCACTGTCTATAGGAATCTGTTCTCCATCTGCATGTGGACAGTAAGCATGTTCTAATTCGGCTTCAAGCCCCTTTAAGCTTCTAAAGAGTGAGCATGCTGTCAGCTTCACACTGACACGTTTGTGTTTGAACATTTCCACCCTCCCCCAGAGCTTCAGCAGAGAGGCACAGGTAAGACGAGAGTCATGCAAAAAGACAGAATCACAGGGAGGTTTAGACAGGATGTTGGCATGCTCAGTTTCTGGGATAAATGGAAACTGAGAAGTTGGTTAAATCAGAAAAATGTGTAGCTGGACCAAAAATATGTGAGATGATTAAATATGTCATTTGGAGGTCCTGCAGCATCTGCTTAACACAAGTTCTCCAGCACCCTATGGATGGTATGGATTCATAAATTAATCAGTATGCACTCAATTCGTCCCGACTTGTTAAAGGTTTTAGCTCAGCAAAGTTGCAGTAAATTAACAGATGGATCAAAATCATTCCCTCATACCTTGAATTGATTTTAAAAAACTCTACACCTTTGATCACTTCCAGATCCCGTGTGATGATTCAGAGAGGAACACAATGGTTCCTGGGTCAAAAAGATAATAATTAAATACAGAAGACTACCCAAAACACATTAAGAAACACAACAAGAAGTGCAGTAAGTTAAACCACTTGATCATTAATAAAGACACCATCAGAATGTGTTTTTCTTAATGCTAATGTTTAATCAATGGTTCTTCATAAAACATTTGGAGTGTGAATTTTTCTGATATCGCCTGTCTACTCTTGGCAGAGGAAAATATATTTTCATTTAAGTGCTTAGTCTGTTTGTCATGACAATTTAACACAGAGATGAAAGACAAAATGGACAAATGGACACAGTTTAGGCTAAAACGCAGCAATTTGAAGCATTAATCTGATTGAGGATGACTGATGCAGCACAACACGGGGAGGAAAATTATACCGGAGCATCCTGTCAAAACATCTGAGTCACAGATTTCCCTTCATTCGTGCGTTGAGATAAACGAAAATGCGCCTTAATCGCTGTGTGTTTTTCCTGTGAAATGACGCAGTTTTCATGTTGAAGTTTTGTCGTGGAATTCTGGTTTTTGCTGCTCTGGCACACAATCATCACACACTGACCGTTACTTAACCCTATAATGCCAAATGTCTGAGACTTTTTGCATCATTCAGTGGTAAAAGCTTTGCTCAAACCCCTGTTGTACACATTCAGATATACCTGATAACAGCCAGTAGAAGACTACATGAAAATATATTTTTGACTTATTGCACGCTAATTTGATCTAAATAATATCTGTTTTTTTTCTTCATATGTTGTTGAGGGGCCAAAGAAAGACTTCAGATGAAAAAAATCCAATATTCTTCCTATTTTTCTTGGATCAGGCTTTAAAGGGTTAACTGTGAATGCTCACTCATTGTTTCTACGCTTTCAGAAAGTCATACCCAAACCTTTTTTTACAGATCTTGGTCCTGCTTCCAGCTTTTTTTGATGATGGCTGTCAGTTGTAGGCTTATATATTCTCAAACGTTGAGGTTGGCAGTTAACATTGTTTCCAGCTCGTTCAACCATATTGTGGTTATGTGTTCCCATCAGGGAACCCTGAAAACGGATGCTATCCTTGGATGAATTGTTCATCCGTAGGATAAGCACGATATTGCAGAATTATTTAGAATTTACGAGGAGTTCAGTGATCCCAAACTGTGCCTGGAAAACGCCGCAGGTTGTAAAAGAGCTGCCCAAACCATCAATCCTACAGATGTTCACAGGTGTGTGTCTGTCACTGTGTGGAGTAAAAGAGGATAACTGATGACTCACCACCACCCAAGACTCTTTTTCACCGTGTAAGGAGACAGTTTTCCCCCACTGATCTCATCATATTCCTCCACAAGAGACCTAATTAAATCTTAAATGTGTGTGAAACCAGTCGCTGTTTACAATGTCGCCGGCACATTTTGGGAATTTCCCTTTTTAATGAAATTGCTGTGAAATGCACAAAAGGCTTTGTGATCAGACATATTTTAGCTAAAAGTATCATTACCACGAGCCTCGAGAAGGCAATACAGCAGGACAATCAAATAATTGAAGTGCCTCAGACCGTTATTGTGAGTATAAAGTGTTATCTTGCCAGAGAAGCGCTCAGCAGGGTCCAGAATACAACCAGGAGGCTTTCCTGTGTGCGGTGGGTCTGAGCCCTGGCCCGAAACGGAAAACGTGTGCACGATTTCCAAATTAGTCACGAAATAAAGCCGCCAATTTGGGTTTTAAAAGATGAATGAGGACGTCCCTCTCGTCTGTCATAAAGCCAACGCAGGCAGTTAACACCGAGCCAACGTGGAGCTATGGATGATCCCATACGGGGGCATATTTGAGCCCCTTTACGCCCAACATGGGCGAAACACAGAAATAATGGCTTGTTGCAATCCTTGTAGTGCTGTATGCTTGTGTTGAGTCTCGTTTGTATCATTCCAGAAGCTTAAATAATGCAATGCATGATTTTTTCCCCCCTGAAAATAGACTGTGTCTGGGACAGAGCAACCCTCATCCGTTCCTCCGCACGAAGCGATGAGGAGTCGGATGTAATTTGCCGTGTTCCTGTAATATCTGTTGTGTTTGATTATATGTTGCTTGCGTATTGTGATCCCCGCTTGTCACTTGGATTTAGGTTATGAGGGTAGCTCGTAGGCCTCATCAAACACTTCTGATCTGTGTTCTCGCAACATTTTTTGCATCCGTCTGACAACACGGGATGAGAAATGTGTACGCTTTTAACCAAAGACGCAAATCTGTGGGTTTATTTGACAGCATTCATTTAAGTCACTTCTTTTATGTGCGTTACAATATCTGAGCCGATTAAAAGGAGTGGATCGGTGAATGCGCAATGTGCAGCCTTTCCTCGCTATCTTACTGAATACAGTAAAACAGATTAGAGACGGCACAATAAACCCCCCAAATCTCCTCTCTTTGAACTCCAGAGGAGATGCCGGGGAGGATGCGGGCGACCTAGACTTCAGCGCGCTGCTCAAGAAAAGGTAAAATTACCTCCAGACAGATCTTCTAACGCTGCCGTGCTCAGATTTCATCCTTTTTTTTACTCTTTCGCGTAGAAAGGAGAAGAAACAAGAGGAGCCAAAAGAGGATGTGGATGTGTGGGAAATATTAAAGACGGCCAAGCCTTGTGACTTTGAGAAGATTGCCTTTGAGTATGGCATCACAGACCTGAGGGGTATGCTGAAGAGGCTGAAAAAGATGAGGGCGGAGCCCAAGAAGAGTGACGGTGAGATGTTACAGTGTACAGGCAGCAGGCCGAGAGCAAAAAGCTCTTTAATGTAAATGGAACGGTTCATATCTGCAAATATCCTTCCACGTCAAATAAACGGTGAGAGGAGGGACTCTACTGCATGTAAAACACACCCAGAAACAACGGAACATGTTCTCATTTACTGTGCATTGTCTCAAAAGACAAGTTATGGGTTTTTATAGCTGACAAATGCAACTTTCACATTAATGAGAACAATGAAAACAGAACACTAATTTTCTAAATTATATCTGTTAAAAGAAGAAAGAAATGGGGTTTCGGTCATTTAAAAAAAAAAATCAGTTTCAGTTTCAGTTTCAGTTTTAAATGGTATTATTTTAAAATAAGAATATGGATATTGTTGTATAAATGTATAAAGATATAGTTGTACATGTGTATATATAGATTTAAAGGTTTTTTTATTCTTCCTCCATTTCTTTTTCTTTTTTTTCTTTGAAAATGTATTATACATAAACATAAATAAATAAAAACAGAAAATGTGCAAATATGAAAACTGTGACAGCTCTTAAAGGCCTCGGTGGAGCAGTCTTACAGCCGGGACTACAGGAGGAATGCGTATAAGCCTGTGAATGCTCTTTTGGTTTCCTCTTATAGATAATTTGGCTGTGAAAAAACCAAGTGGTTGCACTTGCACTAACAAACCACTTTCTTGGCAGCTTTTCTGACCAAGCTGGATTCGGCCTACTCCGTGGACAAGGGCAAGAAGATTCACATGTCAGTGGAGCTGGCCGACCCCAACGCTCCCATCAAGTGGCTGAAAAACGGACAGGAAATCAAGCCGTCGGCCAAGTGAGCCTTGTTCACACGCACGACTTTCTGCAGTCTGTCCACCAAAATGAATGTATTCCCTCACTTTCACATGACTCGACCGTGTTGTAACACTCTCCAGCTCCACTTTCTTGCCTTGCCCTACATAAGCTGTGCCCTTTTCAGTGCACGCATAAAGAAAACCTCCAGAATTCCCCATTTGTCCGAGAAGGCTCTTTAAAAACAGGTCTCCTGAAACTTTGCTGGAACAGCTCCGGCCTTGGAACACGTCTAACAGTAGACACATGTTAGCTTTGAGCCCCCTCAGCCTGCTGGGCTTTATCTGGTGTCTGCATCCCCTTCTGCTATGCTCTTTCCCCCTCCCTCCTTCAAAGGATTCTTTTGGTGTTTTATTGAAGAGGGTACAGCTGTTGCGAGTCAAATTTTTTTCCAGCCGCTCCACCATCTGCTATTTCGAGAACCTTTTTCTGCCGTTCATAGAAAGTAAGGCGGTCCCCTTGCTGTTGTGATTAGGAGTGGAAGGAGAGACTTCTATTTTTCCTTGAAAAAAACCTCTGCGGAGGTCTTTTGAAGCCCGGCGTTTTCACAACCGAGCCCGAGCAAGTTTAAATGTCCCTGGGATTAAGCTATTCCTTGTACAAATTTGGCTGCTTTTTGCATCATCTGGGGCAATATACTCCAGTGGCTGAAAGGAAAAAAACAAAACAACAACACTTGGATGAGGAAGCACACACCTTGGAAGGAATTATTAATATTTATTCAAGTAATACCGCATAATAATACATGAACCGTAGTAAACAAAGAAATAAGTATTTAAAAATAACAGTTTTCTTTCTGTGGATGGTATAAAAACCCCAAATCACTTTCTGAGCTTCACATAATTGGAGGTCGTTGCTCGGAAAAAAAAACAACTGATTTTTCCAGTCAACCTGGTTCATGAAAACACATAAAAATACACAAAATGGCTGCCATTGTTTGATTGCCGTGATCAGTGTAAATCTTAAACCCTGTGAGCATACTGAAATGTGTTCATACTGTACTCATACTGTTCTTGCTTAACTAGATGTAGTCGTGTTATTTGTATATTGTATATCTTCTTGTACATTGAGAACATTATGTATTTTTTTCATGTCATCCATGGCCATTTAAGTCCTACTCGTTCTTGTACTTTGAGCTATCTGGTGACGCCAATGCCTCCAACTCCTGACCACGGCAGTCTATTTTGTTGTTTTTTTTTTGCCTCCCCTGGCCTGTGATGACACAGTAAACCCCTGATCATTGTCTCCACGTTTTTTTAAATGATTTTTTTTAACAGAAACTTGAATGCATGTGTGTGGGAGCGTTGTCGGCGTGTGCGCAGGCACGGATCTGAAGGTCTGTGTGAAGGAGTGCGGACTCGTAGCGTAAAGGTTGAGTCACCCTGTTGTCGTCAGGCCTCCTGATTATGCCTGATTTTGCTGCATTCAGTCTGTCGGCGTCTCTCTCTTGGTTGCTCTTTGTCCTTGTTGTATAATCTTCCCCCCATGGTCCCTGTGTGTGTGTGCAGGTATGTGTTTGAGAGCGTGGGCAACAAGAGGACGCTCACTATCAATAAGTGCAACCTGTCGGATGACGCAGCGTATGAATGCGTGGTCGGGGAGGAGAAGTGCTTCACCGAGGTTTTTGTCAAAGGTATATGAGTCACTGTCTTCGGAGGAATCCGTTCTTTCAGGAGCGAGGAGTTTTTTTTTTTTCTGCTCGGTTTAGCAAATACCAACCATCAGAGCAATGAGAGACTTGTCAGCTCTGTTTCCTTTGTGTGTTTGTGTGGTTTGTTTTGTCTCGCTGCTTTCATGTCACGCGGTGTCATGCAGCAGGCGTGCGCTCACTCATTTTTAATAGGCTTGTGGCGAGGGAGTTATTTATGCTTTGTTTATTGTTTTGTATCATTGCTGCATGCACTAATGTGCTGACATACTTATTAGAGTTTGAGTGATATGTGATGTGTTGGACATCAATATTTCATACTAAGAAAATTTGACAGAGGGGTAAGTATTCATTGCTTCTTGCAGAATTATATATTA